AAATCCATATGGTTATCTCAATAGATGCAGCAAAAGCGTTTGACAAATTTCAACACATTTTCATAATGAAAACACTCAAGAAATTAGAAATAGGCATACATTAATGCAACATAATAAAGTTCATCTATAAAAATCCCACAACTTTTATCATATTCAAAAGCAAAAAAATAGACAACTTTGGCTCTGAGATCAGAAATCATGCAAGGATACCTAGTTTTACCACTTCTATTCAAAAAAGCACTAGAATTCCTAGCTTGAAATAATTAAATATGAAAATGAAATGCATCCAAATCAGAAAACCAGATGAAAAATGATCTCTCTTCTCAGACACCGTATTTGTACATGTAGAAATCCCTAAAGATTAATTTTAAAAAACTATTAAAACTAAGAAATTCTATAAATTTGCAAAATAAATCAACATTACAATCAGTTGTGTTTCTTTGCTTCAACAACAAAACAAAAAGTCAGGTGAAAAGACCAAGGGAACAGTGTAGAGGCCACAAATAATCTTATGTGTATATGGCCAACTGATCTCTGACAAGGATCTGAACATATACAAGGGGAAATTATAGCCTCTTCCACGAATGGTGTTGGGAAACTAGATATCCAGCTGTAACAGAATGTAATTGGCTGTCTATCTTAAACCATTCTCAAAAATCAGCCAAATATTAAAGACTACCACAAGATCTAAAAACTATAAAACTTCTAGCGGAAAACATAGGGGATGAATTTCATGACGTTGGTAACAGCAGTGAATTTGTAGATATGACACCAAAAGTGCAACAAAAGTCAGAATTGACAAAGGGCTAAAAGCTACAATTGACTAAAATCTTGCCAAAAAAAAAAAAATTAGTGAAATGAAAACCTATGGAATGGGAGAAAATATTTGCAAATCAAATATTTAAGAAAGAGTTAAGCACAACATCTAAGAAACTACTATGGGAGACCAGCAGGTGGAGTGGTGATTAATGTGTTAGACACTCCCACAGGGCCGACCACAGTTCAAGTCCTGGACTTGGTGGCTTGCTTTCTCACTTTCCCTCTTAATCTCTTTGTGTGTCTGTTCCAACTAAAAATAAATTAATGAATAAGTAAAATTAAGTAAATAACATAAAAACAACAAAAAAAGAAACTTCTAGGAACTCCAACATGGCCAACCACAGTTTGAGTTCTGGATACGGCAGCTTGAACTCACACTGTGTAAACATGTCTGCCTGCCTAAAATCCCAAGAGGAGAATGGAGGAAAAGGGAACTGCAGCATGGCCATCCCCATGGGGGGATGATTTTTACTGTCTGTCTCTCTGGTGAGTGTACATGCCCTATAGGGAAAATCTCGCTCTAAAAAAAAGAAAAAAGAAAAAAGAAAGAAAGAAAAAGAGACAGTGAGAATTCTACAACTCACTAACAGAAAACAAAACAACTCGATTATAAATTGTAGAAGAAGGCCAGCAAATGACATACTGGTTACATCACTGAATTCCCACATGGCCAGCTGTGGTTAGAGTCCCAAGCTGGTGACTTGAAAATCAGGCTAGGCACATGTGCATGTGTGCCCAAGATGCTGGGAGGAGAATGGAGGAGAGGGTACTGAGGCATGGCCATCCCCCTCGGAGGGTCATTTCTCACTTCCCTCTCACTGTCTCTTTCTCTCACTCTCTCTCCAGCAAGAACATGTACCCTATGGCAAAAACCTCTAGGAAAAAAAAAAAAAACTTTTTGAAAGGACTTAAATAGACATTGCTCTACTGAAGATATATGAATGTTCAATGCATTAATGAAACGCTGCTGAATATTATTAGTCCTGAAAGAAAATGTAAGTCATAACTCAGTGAGATCACTTCATCCATTTTGAGATCACAAGAAGTTAAAAACAAAAAAACAAAATAGGCCCAGCCCCACAACCTAGGGGTTAAGGAAGCTGGATCACACATGACTCACTGCAGTTCAAGTCCCATCCTCAGGGGGCTTGAGAAAATGCAGGGCACATGTATGTCCCTGCTCAGAATCTCAATAGGGTGGACAAGGAATTGCCCTGTGACCACACCTCAGTGGAGGGTACTTCCTATCTCTCTCCATCTCTCTCCAGTGAGTGCATGCACTCCCTGGCAATTAAAAATTGTAAAACAAACAGAAAATAACAAGTGTTGGTGAGGTCATAGAGAAACTGAGACTCCTGCACACCGTTCGTAACCGTGGAGAATTTACATTTGTGATAAATGTTAAGAAACCTACCATATCCATGGGTTTTTCCAACATATTAAAAATAAAACTACTGCATGGTCCAGCAGTCCCACTTCTAGGCATTTATCCAAAATAATTGAAAGCAAAATTTTGAACATATTTCACTCTCAGAATTATTGCAGTATTATTCACAATAGCCATGAGGTAGACATAACCTAAATGTTCACTGATAGATGAATAAAGAAATTGTGTTGTATACATAGAATGGAATAGTAATAAACCAAAATAAAGAAAGATATTCTGGTATGTGCTACAACATATCTAAACCTTGGGGATATGCTGTTCAGTGAAGTAAGTCAGTTGTGGAAGGACAAACACTGGAATTCCATCTATATGACAGCAACATATACACATGCAGAATATGTGTAGTTCCCTGAATGTAGACACTACTTTCTTCTTAAAAAGGCTATAACCATGTTGAAATGTACATAGTAGCTCTTTTGTATCAGTATGTCATGATGGTCTATACATTCTAGACTTGCAGAAATTGGTAAAAATATTGAGTATAATGACACAAGGTACACCACAATTGGAGAGAGAACATGGACAAGACGAACCGTGCACTACTCAATAGGAGTTGGAGGCATCAGTATCACTTGGAGTTTTCAAGACAGGTAGGTGTATATATGTGTGTGTGTGTATGTATGTGTGTGGGGGGGTAGATGGTTAGATAAGACATATAGCTAGAAAGACAAGGATACATAAATACTTAACAGTTATAGGCATAGGTCTTGGCAAATAAAGGAAATTGGAAACTGCACTCTAATAGTAATAAGCACAGAGTTTCCAGATGTTAAAGTCAAAAAGTTTATGCATGTGTGTGTTTCCTATATTATACAGATAATTAATGCACCTGATACAATCCGTATTTAGAAAATGTGTATTGGTAGTTTCTAAATTACCTTTCAGCTTAAAAATTATTTGTAATATTAGGTGATATTACATTTTCTAAAAGGCACAAAGTTACTAGTTCTGGTTTAAAGAGCTAGGAGGAAACAATGAGGTTTGAAAACATTGTAAACAAGCGCTTACCCCTGCAGGTCACTTCGGGGTCCCATCTTCCATTTATGCAGACGGAGTGTTTGGATTCTGCCTTTCCTCTGCATTTGTAGCTTATGTTCTGGTTATGACTGAATTCAAACTTACTGGATGAGGTTGCCTTATTTACAATTAACCTCGGTATCTTACACTTCGCAACTTGATCTGTTGCTATAAAATGAAAATATTCTCATGAAAAGACAAATTATGAGAATCAAACTTACTAGTACATAACAATAGCTATAGCCAGCCAGGTGGTTAGAGAGTCCACTACGCAGTAATGCTGAATCCATTTGGAAGATGGCGGCTGACCCGTACACTGTAGGTGTGTGCAAGCATGTCCATGATACCAGCTACATTAAAAAGCTATTGAGTCAGGGACCAGCAGGTGGCGTAGTGGTTAAGGGCTCTGCATCCCACATGGCGAACTGTGCCTTGAGCACGACTTGGTGGCCTGCATTCTCTCTCTCTTTCTCTTTCTCTCCATGGTGGTCAAACTTAAGTAAAAAATTAAATAAATAAACTTCAATAAAATTACCTTTTTTTTTAAAAAAAAAAGCTATAGAGTCAAGCATATAATGAAGTAATGATTTATACCTATAAATTCTACCAATCAAGCTATTTCTGATCACATTGCATAAAATAGCCTATTAAGTATGATTGTATGTCCTACGTTTAGTCTTTGAAATATAACAATAAATATCTGCTATAAAGACATTTTGTGTTTTGGGAACTGGTAGACCCTGTAGACTCATTTTTTGGGATGATCTATATTCCATATTTGAAATCTGTGCAAGTGTCCACATTTATTTCTGTTCCTGATCTCAAACACCTCTAGATGATTTTTAATCCATAATTTTGAAATATTATAATAAAAACATTATCTGTGGGAATGTAAGTTGGTAATTAAAATATATATGTTTGAAAGTTTATTTCTTTATGACAGAGAGAAAGACTTATTTTTGATAAGGTCTCACCATGCCATGATCTTTCCTGACTCAGCCTCCCAGCTAGCTAAAAATATAGCCATGCTACAGAAATGCCCAGCCACTCTACTCAGCCTGTTCTGGTTGGGCCAGGAGTTGAACCTGGGTCTCCCATGTGGACTGAGCTTCTGAGTTGCATCACCATAGCAGTGTGTGCCACCATTAATGAGCCCTCTGTATATTTTTTTCAAGAGTATTTTTGATGGTTTGTTTGCTATAGGGTGTGTGTGCTCACTGGAGAGAAACAGAGAAATAGAAAGCAAGAAATCACCCTCCTGCCCAGGGGAGGATGGCCACACCATAATCCCTTCTCCTCCATTCTCCAATCAGGATTTTGGGCATGAACGCACATATACCTAGTGTGAGTTTTAAACTGCCAAGTCTGAGACTTAAACCTCAGTTGAGTACATGGGAGTCCAGTGATGTAACCATTTAGCCATCAGCTGGTCTCAACACCCATCATTTTTAAGTTTCATTCTTCATGAAAGGAAGACAGAGAGACAGAGAAAAATTAAGAGCACTCTCAACAGAGTTGTAGATTGCAGGTCTAGAGAGGGCCAGGCATGAGTTTTTCTCAGCTATCCAGGATCATGAACACATACATGCACATCTAGCACATACAATCAGCCAGGTACCAAACACATGACTTCATGGGCTGCAGAGATTTTATTACCACTACCCCATGACAGCTGGGTCATGAACTCAGATTTTAATAATGTATCAGTTTAAAATAAAATGTAGCTTCATACTTTAAAAAATAACAGTATCAGGGACAGAAAGATTTATATAATTTTACTACTACTTTTATGTTTTCTCTGTAAGCACATATTGAATTATAAACTGAAAAAGTTTGGATTCAAGGGGCCAGTCAGGTGGAGTAGTGATTGGGGTAGCTGGATCCCACAAGACTGACTGCGTGATTTGAGTACTGGTCCTGGCACCTTGAAATATACCCCAGGCTTGTTTATTTGCCCAAAATCCCAAGAGGAGAATGGAGAAGGGATTATGGCATGGTCATCCCCTCTAGAGGGTGCTTTCTCACTTTCTTTCTCTCTCTCTGTTGAGCACATGCATTCTACAGCAAATTCTTTTTTTTAATTTTTGAGAAGTTTTTGCTATAGGGCACGTGCGCTTGCCAGAAAGAGAGAGAGAAAGCAAGAAATGTCCCCCCAGGGGAGATGGCCACACCGAATCCCTTTTCCTCCATTCTCCTCTCAGAGCATGCATGTACACATGCCTGACATGAGTTTACGCCACCGGATCTGGGACTCAAACTGTGGTCTGCTACATGGGAGTCCAGCGATATAGTCATTATGCCAACTGCTGGTCCCACGAATATTTTGACAATAAAAATACTAAACTCTGTTAATGTCAATTTGAAAAGTGTGTTCGCACCAACACAGCTAGGAAGTTGGGTCCACGTTCCTTTAACACACATCACTGTTCCGTGTCCGATCATCGTGAACGTTTCTCTGCAGCTGAACGCCACGGAGTCTCCATGGTGATAGGGAGGGTCAGAAGTCTGGAGGAAGCCGTGGTCGAGTTCCGGTATGTCTCCGCAGGTACTCCTCTCCTCTATGAAATTTCACATGCAAAAAGTTTATCATTAAAATATAATTGCTATCTTTTGATAAAAACAAAAATACTGTTAAGTGTGAATATTAATATTTTTGTCTATTACCAATACACATAGGCAAGCTTGTCCACGTTCCATCAACACATTGAATCTTCTTTGGCCCCTTCATCAGAAATCCAGTATTGCAATGGTATTCCACTTGGTCCCCGTGCGTGTATTCTGCTTTCCTTGTTTTCTTGGCGTCCCCATTGAGAAGCTGAGGAGGAGGACCACAGACGCGTACTTCCGCTACAGAAGAAATACCGGGTAAATAATAGCTACGTGGTCAATTTAGCAATTTAAAGATCCAGCAAAATGGAGATAGTTTCTTCTTTTATTTATTATTGATCATATAATTTGTTAGAGTATTCTTAAGTAATCAAAGAAGAATGATGTTCACACGTTTGTACGTCCGGGTGTATTCTGTACAGTGAACTAGCATCAGAGGTATGTTTAGCGCTTCCAATGTGTTCAGCAATCCAGGTATTTTAAAGATGCATGCAAAATTATTAGAAAATGTGGTTGTGTTTATTATATTAATTTTCATAGTCTATAGCAACATTTAATTTTAACTATTAGAAAGAGTGGCATTCAATCAATGTCTTTTAACTTTGATTAGCAACTGAATTGACAATAAACTATTTGGATATTGTTGAGACACACTCAGGGGAATGTGAGTTGGCCCATGTAATGTTGATGCTGGCATTGTGGGCAAAACAAAAAGTAGCAGAAGGCCTTCCAGCCTCCTCCGCCACACAGGTATCCGTGCATATCACCAATACACATTTTGAGGACAATTGGACAGGGACTTCTTAAATAAGAGAATCTGAGGGGTCTACCACCTACTGGATGTCCTTCATGGTCTATGTCTTTCTTCGTTTATTAGATTAGAGAAGCAGTGAGACACACAGGAAAAAAAAAAAAAAACTTAAGGGTTGATATTCAAAATTTGAATTCCTTATCAGGAAGTGCAAGCTATACATTCACCTTTACATACTGGGACATCAGGGGACCATCCAAAGGGGTAGCACTGAACTGAATTTGGTCCAACTCTTGTAAGTCTGTGTCGGCAGGAGAATTTCAGCACATCTCCAACTCTGTATTTCTCTTTCTTGGGATAAGCAATTAAGTTTTGTTCTATTTCTGGAATCCTGCATTCTATTTCTAGGGGAAAAAAAAGGTAAAATGATTTAACAAGACTATGTAATTAATCATTACTGAAATAACTGTGTATCTGCCGTGCAAAACTGAGGGAGGTGTGTGGATGTACATTCACAGGAGAACCAGATACATTCTCTTCCTTGAAAACACATTACAGGTGAGGTTTCAGATGCTCCCTAAATGCACGTGGGACTCTGCAACATAGTAGGCATGGTACAGAATTCTAGGGTAAGTCTGTGCAGAGAGAGCTGGACCCCACCTCGCCTACCACAGAGAGAGCCATGGCTGCAGCACCCTAAAATACACAGGTGTGTGGACATGCAGGCCTGGGGTCCTAGTGGGAAGGAAGGACGGAAGAAAGGGGATGAAGAATGGCAAGGCCTCACTGTGGGACTCTTTCTTACGTGCACTCTGACATAAAAAACTAAACTGGTAATATTGTTTTCAAAGCTGGACTACAAATATACTGCATACATACTTGGGTAACCAGACATGAAAATAAGCCCCCCTGAGCTATTTTAAGTTAAAAGCATTAAAAATCACACAATTGGGGACCAGTAGGTGGCATGGTGGCTAAGATGCTGGACATCCCCACATAGCTGACCATGATTCAACTCCCAGACCTGTTGGCTTGATTTCTCACTTTCTCTCTCTCTCTCTGGTCAAATTAAAATGAATGGCTGAATAAATAAAATTGAATAAATAATTCTTTAATAAAAGAATCACACAATTAATATATTCCTAATGAGACTAATGGTGGTCACAGAAGCTGGATACCACACAACTGATCGTGAGTTTTAAGCTCTGGACTGGGTGGGTGTGAGAAGCACAGTGGGTGCATGTGTGCTTGCCCAAAATCCTGAAAGAGGAGAATGGAGGAGGAGGGTTTGCTACTGACCATTGCTCCTGGGGGTGGTACTGTCTCATGTTCTCCCTCTCTCTCTCTCTTTCTCTCTTTCTCTCTCTCTGTCGCTGCCTCATACTGGAGAGCACTTGTACCCTCTGGCAATTTTCTTTTAATAAAAAAAAAAAAACGAAACAAAGCAAAACCCAAAACTTCTCCTCCCAGTTATGGACCCCTTGGTGTGTCTGTCTCTGTTTTCATATCCACTACGGCATTCGTACTCCACCTCGTCCTTGACCTTAAACCATGTGAAATTTCTCGTGGCTCTGGCATTCTCAAATACTGGCTTGTTGCAAAATTCTAATAAATAATTAAATAGATGATTTAATTTTAATGCAATTTCATGTAAATCTGAGTAATTCCATCCCCCAAACAAAATGTTTTACAAATTAGTATACACTAATAAATAAAGTACTATATGAAAGCAATGTTATGAGACCAATGATAAATCATTCTCCTGAAGTAGTACTTAAAAATAAAAAATACATTTCTATATGGCGTTTTCCTCATCGCTAAACCCTCTACAAATTTTATTCTAAAAATATTTTGCAATTAAATTATACTTACATGCTTAATGCTAGGAATATAGGAAATAAAAGAGTGTATTAAAGATACATATTACTTTCTAGGCGACAGGTGGAATGGAGATTAAATATGTATATATATATATATATATATATATGTGTGTGTGTGTGTGTGTTATATTAATTATATATATTATGTGTTTGA